GGGCAGCACCTGTGTTCTAGTCACCACTATTTCTCCAAGATCCAGCACAATTTTTGGCCCAGACTAGGTCACTTAATGCATATTTGTTGAATAAGTAAATGAATGAATGGAGATTATCAGCAGCAAATTAATTTCCAAATTGGTTTTTGCTGGAATCCCACATACATATATAGATGAGTTTCCCCCACCCCAGTATTTTATAGGATTTTTTACAGCATGAATAAATAATATAGGTGCTTAGTAACTTATATTTATACATGAATATTATGCATACACGCAGACACACACACATATGCACACACACACACACGCATACTTCTTTCCTTTACAAATAAAAGCCCATATGTTCAAACCATCCTTCCTTAAAATGGGTTTATTTTCTGAAGTCTGAGTGACCAAATTCAGATTTAACATTTATGGGATGACTGCTTTTTATCAGGTACTGCCCAAGGCAGTTTCTCTGTTTATGTCTGTCATCACATACATTTTCCACAACGCTTTTAGAGGTTCCCCTGCTTTACATATGGGAAAAGTCAGGTTGCTCCCCCGACTTCCACTCCCCCCACCACATATCAGTCAGTGATCTACACAGGCAGCATTTGAACCTAGGTCTTTCTTGTGATCTTGTCCCAGTGTTCCTCGCACCTGCCCTCAGCCACCTTAGTACAATAAACCAAGCTCAGAAACACAGAAAACTTCTCCAAAGCACATTTCCCAAAACCTGTGCTTCTGCGACCGGGTTTTTAACTTACCTTGCTGATATGACAGTGGCTTTGCATTAAAATAAATAAATAAAATTAAATAAATAAATAAAATTAAAAAGCACATTGTGCTGAGCACCAGAAATTGACACATTGTAATTGACTGTACTTCAATTAAAAAAAAAAAGCACATGAATGGATGCAGGCAAGACCACCAGGCAGGAGGCCAGGACTGTTAAGCATAGTCTACTGAGCTCCTCAGTCCCCCACCCTCGACCCCACCCTTGACCCTGAACCTCTTGCAGATGCAGTGAGAGTAGGTTCCCTCTTAGAAGAGACTCCGAGGCAGGGCTTCTCGTTCAGCCTCAGGGACCATTTTGCAATAAAACAGCAGACATCTCTGCAGCCTGACTTCTCCCTCTGCCTGCCCCCTTTCAGGGGAATGTGGGAGAAATCATGATCCCTCTACCCTTGACAGGGAAGAACAAAGATGTGTGGGTCGAAGATGAGCCAGGTGTCAGAGGAGCTGGCTCATCTGAGAGAAACCTTCCCGAGAGGAAAGGAGAGGTGGACCTGGGCCCTCTCTGTGACGTCCCTGTCCCTGTCTGCCCTGCAGCCCTGCTCCTCTCCTACATGTGAAGGGGGGAAGGTGCCACGCTGAGCCTCAGGGACCTTGTTACACAAGCCAGGGGCTTGAGGACTGTCAGCTTCGCTTGTGTCTCAGGTCCCCCTGGCCCAGCCCAGCTGTTCTTTATTTTTTCTTTGGAGAGGAAAGCTGTCAGATGACACTGGAAGGTATTTGTTCTCATTAGCTGGGCCTGCGAGTGGGTGATGATTTGCAGCCCAAGTGCTAAGGGCATGAGGCACGATGCTCTGGTGAGGGCAGGGACCCATTCCAGGGATCATCTTGTGAACCTATTAGAGGTTGCAGGCGCAAGCGCCGAACAGTTGTTCTGTTGATGCATCAGAGAAGCTGAGCTGGTCATAGTAGTAACAAAAGCCAAGAAACGATCTTTATAAACAGTGCCAAGGAAAGCGTTTGTATCACGTGCCTGCCTTTCTGCAAAGAACCTGTGAGCTCTGCTGGGTAATATAACCCCATGTCAGGAGGTAAAGAATAATGCATTCACATATCTTTGTTCAATTTTCAAGTAGAGTAAACACTTGTCCAAAGTACATGCCAAAAGGAACTGTATCAGAGAGAGTCTGCAAGCCTATAGGGCAAACACATTTGGACTACAAAGATATAACATATTTACTCCTGCAAGCTCTTACAGATAAGATATTCATTTATGACTCCCATTAAATCACGCAGAGAGCTATTTTATGCGACCACCATTCTACAGACTAGTTTAAGTGAGGAACCAGTTTGGGGGAAGAAAAGAAAATATTGATATTAGGCAGTTTTATGAGAATGTAAATCAAATCCAAAGTTTGCGATCCAAAAGGATTAAATTATTTATAGTATAAATTAACTCTGATACATTGTTCCTGATTCAAGCAGCATGAGTAGATCAGTTCTTCTGTTGTTGTTTTTTTAATTTGCAAGAATAAAATACATGATATATAGTTTGACTTCAAATTCTCAGTTATGAATTGGAATGAACATTTAAAAACTGAAAGATTTTCAAGATTATGCTATTGGCCAATTTCTGTGGGCTGAATAACATTTATCACCATTGTGATTAGATATAAACAAAGTGATAAAGGACAAAGAAAAAGCACCAGTTACAGAAAATATGGTTTATTTTGTTCTGTGATAGTTCTTAGATATGCTTCTTTAACTTGGCCTGTACTAAAAGAAAATACTTAAGAATACTTTTTCTTCAAAACTACAGTTAGTTTCAAGAAAGGCCTTTCTTTTTTACTTATTGTGAACAACATAAATTTGAAAAGGATTCTGATAGGAAAAAAAAATCCTTCTTGTGCATACAGTTCAACTGATCAATTATAGGTAATCTGATTCTAGTCATTTTACTGCTGTGGTGTGAATGTCTGCTAGCCACAAGTTGATGACAGCCTGTATTTTAATTTTCAGTGAGGCTTACTGGTTGCCCACTGTCATTAAGTATGTGCTATTTTGTCAATATTGAGTCAAGAAACAATTAAGCTTCATGAAAACTTTTTTACTGTCATCTGTTGCACTATGCTAGACAGACAAACAAGCATGCATAGTTTAGCATCACCAAATGTAAATTTGTTATTGAGAGAAAAAGAAGATAAAAGTGTGGTCCAGCCTTCAGCTGAATGGGAGAATTACCAAGATGATTTCATGATTACATACATATCACACTTAGAAATGTGTTCTTGCCAGCCTCCTTCCAGCTATGTTCTCTTTGAAACCAAGGAACACATCCCGGTCACCTAGCTTTGCAAATAGAGACTCTCTGCAGATTTGTGCTGGATAAATGAAGGAAGAAATGAATGAACAGAAATACCTTATATTTAGGATATTTAAGTATCCTGACTAGATCTTTATTGCTGTCAGTTTCAGTTATCACACTAAATGTTTATAGTTTATGTACTGACTAAAAACTATCACATAATTCCCCTATCTACTATAGTTTGTCAATAGTGGCCATATGGGTACCTAGCTTCAAGGCTGTAGTGAAATTTAGTAAGTGACTGTTTGTGAAGTGCTTCTGAAATCTGCAGGTGAAAAAGAAATCTTAATACAAATACATATAGAAACAATGAATGATTATCTGGAAAAAGTGCCAGATCCTTGAAATACCCAGAACATGCTATTAGTTTTTCACATGGTCCTTAACTGGAATTGTGTCACCTGTCTACTCCTCAGCCAGTCACTGAGAGGGAATGAAATTACCAACAGTGGCTTAATTAATCAAGATTCACCTTCGTGGGCTGACAGGGGCCCAGCTTTTCCTATCATCCCAAGCTGCCTGATACCTAGAGAAAATTGAGATTCTATTAATATATTAGTGACAATTATATTTGGTTATGTATTGGAGGAAATTCAGCATAACCATGGCTATTTGACTTCTTCCTCGTATTAAGAAGTTCAGAGATAGTGCAGCTCCATGGATCATCAGGACCAGGCTCATCTGATTTTTCTGCCCCCAAATACTTAATATGTGACTTCCATTGTCAAAGTGGTTGCTGAAGCTCCAGCCATCACTTTCATATCCCATATAGGAAAAAAAAAAGGGTGAGCCCCCCCTTTCTATGAGACTTCCTATAAGTCCAAGAAAATAGACTGCTAATTACTCATTGGCCAGAAGTTTGCCACATAGTGACAAGGAAGGCTGGGGACTATAATTGGATGTGCCTAACCAAAAAATCAGGGTTTGTGGCTTAGGGGGAAGGGGAGAATGAAGGATGGAGTAGACAACTACCAGACTTCATCACAGGTAGCAATGACAAGAGGGTGGCATAAACAAAGATGTGGAGCAGGAAAGCAGAGCATACAGGAGAGGAGTTGTCCCTGTTCTGCACCATTCGACCTGTGTCTATTGCAAGTAATTTTAAGAAGCGAAACAGTCACACAGCAAAAGAATAGGAAGGAGAGGCAAAGGACGTTGTAAATCAGCAAAGTGTAGAAACTGTGTACAGATAATTAGGATCATGTATTGCACTATATCATTTTTTAGCATTCTTAAAGTACTTTACGTATGAAAGGATATTATTTTTCCAAATATGGAAATGTGAAATTCAAGGTATGAATGATCTTTCCAGTCTAACCATCTTAATTAGCAACAAGGTCACCTTTGGAAAAAAGCAAAATATTACCTATAAGGCTAGGCTTATTATGAAAAGAATCGGGTCCTGTAGAAGTATAGGAAAGAAGCAAATGAGCTAATTAGCTATATATAGTCAGCTGTGGGAAACTTACTGGTAAATTAGAATCCATGCATAGAAAGTCTCATTATTATAAACGGCAACTCTTTTCTTTATTTTTTAAAGGTAGCCAACCAAGTTGTGCAAGCTCTGCTCACTCAAAAGGTAGGTCACTTTCTGGCTTTATTATTTTCAAAGCACTTATGTGAATAGATTGGAACTCATACTGTCAGACTAAAGGAAACCATGATTGATAGCTGCAATACTTTTCTATTTATTCTGTTAGGTTAAAATTGTGTGTGCTTTAGATGGCAAATGAAGTAACATCAGTGACCAATAGAATCATAAAATTTAAACTCCTGGGAAAGTAATAGAAAGCCTTTTGAAGATGAAAGATTTCCAGAGGCCCACCCAGATGAATAGCAAACCTATCATTTTTATTTAGTAAATGCAGATGTTAAAAAAGCTGATGGATTCCTCAGGTTCCTATAAAATGAATAGCCTCTGATGGCCAGCATTAAGAGAAGCCTAAAATTCAGCCAGAGACCTTTGAGGTGAGGAAGGTGGTTTAACTTCTCTGGGTGATTTAACTTCCTCTTCTGTAAAATAGGGGTAACAATCCCCACCTCCCAGAACTACTGTGGTCATCCTATGAAAGGAAGCAGGTGGGGCAGTTCCCACAGGAATAGGTTTGTGGTAAATATAAAACGAGTGGTGGTATTTGTATACTTGAAAGTTATTGAGAGTAGATCTTAAACATTCTTATGACAACAAAAAAAGAGTGTTAACTATATGAAATGATGGATGTGTTAATTATTTTAATCTTGGTGGTCATTCCACCATGTAATGTATATCAAGGTGTCACGTCTTACACTTTAAATATATACAATTATGTTTGCCAATTACCCCTCAGCAAAGTTAGAGGGAAAAACAAGTGGTAATTTCTGAGCATGAAATCTCTAGACCTTCTTTATCCTCTTATTCTACCTTCAGATCATTTTATTGAGGCACAGTGGGGAAATGTAGGTGGTTGCCCAAATGTGGCTGGTTTGGTGAAATTTTATTGAACCTGTCTCATCTTTTTCTAAGATGTATCTGACAGGCTAGACTCTAGTTCCTTAAGATCTTGTTTATTCCGAGTTACCTCTCTGTGAGATAGAGATTTTAAGAGAAAATCTTAAATCATGTGGCATGCTCAGGAAGATGTGTCTAATGAGAACAAAATAATTCGTGACATTTTGTTTTTTGTTTTTTCATTGAATACAGTTTTATTAGGAGTTGACTACTTCTCATCAAGATACTTAAATAAATATTATTTTAAATGTATACTATAGAAGCATTATGATAATATGTTTGCTAAACTTTCTCCCCCAACTACTTCTGTCAAAATATCATGCTTCCTGCTACAAATGATTTTAACTGGTTCGGATTTTACATTAACATTCCATAAACAGAGAGATATGAGAATGCTTATTAGGTTAGAATTAGGTTCCACTGTGAGTAACAGAGATCTAAAATAATAGTGGCTTAAATTGGCTAAAATGTTATTTATTTCTCAGATGTAAATCTATAGGTAGACTGTACAGAGCTGGTATGATAACTCTGCTTCATAGAGTTCATAGTGTTCTCAGCATCCTGGTTTCTATTGTGTTATTCTGTGGGATGTGCCCTCCATTTCCAAGATCACCTCATGGCCCAAAATGGCTGCTCCAGCTCCAGTCATCACACCCACATTTCACCATCAGGAAGGAATGAAAGCCAAAGAAAATGGAGAGGGTAAAAGGCAAACACCAGCTGTCTCTTAAGAGAGACTTCCAAGGGGGGAGAGGGTATAGCTCAGTGGTAGAGTGTGTGTTTAGCATGCATGAGGTCCTGGGTTCAATTCCCAGTTAAATAAATAAGTAAACCTAATTACCCCTCTATCTGCACCACCCCCCACAAAAAACAGAGAAACTACCACTTAACATCTCCTTAAATGAACCTTGGTTACTCAGCCACATCTAAGGAAGCTGATAATGGGGTCTTTATTCTGGGTATGTGCCCAGCTGAAAATTGATTGTCACCTTATTGTAGAAAAAGGGGATGCTGAGGGGCAACTCATGATCTCTTTCACAACATATTTGAATGATTTTTCTTTTTCAAAGGCTGTAATTTCTCAGTCGCTTTCCTCCTGTTGGAAACTCGACACTTATTTAATATAAGCCTAAGGAATGTTGCAGCTCTGTGTGTAACTGTTGAAAGACTTCTCATGCCTATCTTTTTTTTAATGGTGCCTCAGGAAAGAGACAAGAAAGCCGTCAAGCCGTCTGGTACAATATAAAGGAAAATGGGACCTTTCAGGTCTACCACAAAAAATAGCTACACAAATTCAAGTAATAACTAGTAAACAGATAAATCTACCTTGGTACAGTTAAGCAGTAGGACACAGAAAGATGTGCTTCCGTGAGAAAGCATACCTCAGGGACGCTATGAGGCAGGAAGAGATGCCAGGGCTTTCGGAAATTCTGGAAGAATCATGTTCTGCAGAAACATGTGCCTCCCAGTTTTTATCAAGACTGTAAAATGGCTACAAAGAGGCTAAAATTTCTTTTTAATTAAAAGCACAATATAGGAAATAAAATGTCCTCTGAATGCAGATGAGAAAACTAATTCTAAAGAGGGGTGTAGCTGGCACAGAGTGAAAACAGAAATCTTGAGTGATTTATCCAAATAAGAAAGAAAGAGAGAAAGAAAGAAAGAG